GATGCAATTCCCATACATGGGTGCGTTTCCCGTACAACGACGTAACTCGATGCTTCACTACGATAGTACGATGCATCGTTGAAGAAATCAACTAGCTAGTCACGACTGTTTCCCGAAACCATATTGTCGCAAAGTGGTCGTTCAACCACGTTGGTTTATGACATCACGCACATGGTGGAGTAATAACTTATTTTAATGAAACTGTTTGAGATTGAATTAATGCTAGATGTTTTGATATAAATTACAGACATGGCATCTGAGGAATATTTCAAATTTTTCTCAGTTATTTCGCTTTATTTCCAGATTCAATCATAGGCTCGTTCTTACAGAGCACGTTCGCACGCACAGTCTTCAAAAACGGTGCTTTAAATCTCTTGACAACCTCAAAGACGTAAATGATATTTGTATGTATTCTAAATAAAAGACACAGGTTGTATTGAATGTCAGCTTGCTTATTTTGCTCAAGATAAGGATTTATTAAGTTCACATGTCATGCAATCTAGAAACTATGCTTCTAACCACAACTCGAGAGGAAACACGTGTGCAGGTGAAGTAAGATCTTCAGCTAATTAATATCTTTGATATAGCAATTCATGTATTTAATATTATTATAGTTAATTGAAATTACCAACAGAAAGCATTTTTTTTTAATCATGTTAGCATGCAGTATTTGGCATATACTTTACTCCCGTATACATACGGTTCATTCAGTCAGTCAGTTCCTACTATGTAAGTTTGCGAGGTTGTTTGTGAATGTTCGTAGGAATTATGGTTTCGGGAAATGCAAAATCATTCAACTATGTTGATAACGAGGGAACTTGCGACCATAGTTGGATAAAGATGCTTTTGGGAAATGCACCCCTAATCAAGTGATTAATGTGGTGGCACGTTTTCCACTGTCAGACTCAAAACATATGTTTTATTATTATTTAGTTTCTTATTATTGCCCTCAAAACAAGTGCAAACCTTTTGAGTATTAAAAATCAGTGCTGGTTTTAGACAGTGTAAGACCACCCACCGCTGCGTCACTAACCCACTGGAAATTTTAACATTCACCTGCCTAAAGCTCATCTCCATTCATCCATCTTCAGCAAATATTTCTCTTTTGGATGCAGAGAGGCCATCCAGATTCCCCGCACCCACCCTTAAAATGCCAATGTCACCTACCAAACAAAAGAGCAGGAGGAGGCCCTCGGGACAGTAATAACATCCAAGTTAACCCTCTCTTCTTTCCTCATTCCATCTTCATTATTTCTTCTATCTTGCAGACACCCAGGACCGCCTGCAGGTATTGTGGCTAGCAAACAGTCCATTCTTTTTTTGTGTCAACAATAATTGCTCTTTCCCACTAATCTGAAATTAATATCTTAGTCTGATAAAGGTTTTGGTTAAAACTCAGCAAGGCAAAAGAAATGAAGCATGAGAGAGCATTGTGAGTGGGATCAGATCTAGAAGGTTTGTCTTTGTTGATATGGAGGTGATTGACAGGTATGAGAGCCACAGGCAAAAGCACATCGTGTAAAGCCCGGTAAAGTCAATATTGCCCTGATAAGGTTACATGTAAGGGGCCTATGTGTCAATATCAAGTATAGACACACATTTGTCTGGAAATATGACACTGGGCATCACTTGAAGGACACAAACCAGACATGTATCATATAACCAATATTTTACATCTATGAAATATTTTTGCAGGGAGTTTTCAGGAACTGAATCTTTCATCTACTCGATTTGTTATATAAGTGATTTGGTACTCACCACAATAGATCAATTGATACATGAGGCCTGAATCACCCTGTGTTGAGCTAAGGCTTGCGGTATATGACCTCATGTGGTACTGGATACTCCAGTCTTCCCACAGGCCATCATTCACTGATTTACTGTATATTTACTTCCTTTTGTCATGACAATGGCACAACGTCATGACAGATCGACTCTTGTAGAATTGGCCTTTGAGTTTAATTATATTATGAAAAGCTTCCTCCTCCCAAACTGTCACTGTATTTCACCTCCTGTTTTATGGTAGACTGCCTTAGTCAGCTATTCTCAAGACATTCCTTTAGACATTAATCTCTACATCTCTTCATGCTATGTGCACTTTAAGACATACTGCCATAGTCTGTAGATTTTGGGAAGGCTAGCTCCTCGGTCAAACTAACAGATGTGTGTATGTCTCTAAAGCCCCTTTCACACAGCGTGTTGATCCGGAGAAATTGCCATAAAATTGCAAGAGTGCCTTCTGTGTGAACGCAAACACGTCCCGGGATTGATGCTGGGATCGATGCCGGCTTCTATCTTATTTCACAGTAAATGTACATAAAAATCATTTACTTATCATTTTTTAATCATTAAAAAAAAGCTTTCACTTTTTCATCAAGGTCAGTTAAACACACACTGGTCACACCTATCACAATAGGTTGCACTCCAGTTGATCTCACGCCATCCCTTCAACCAACTTTTCACACTGAGGTTCTCAGCCAGTGACCAGAGCATCTGAAATTTCGTTGCATTGTGTGAAGAATGAGGTCAGACTTGGATCAGAGGCCAAACTAAACCTACCACAGACACTTTCCCTAAAATCTAAACACTGACCACATGCACTGCTTAACAAAGGGACTTTTCCCTGCTCATATTTTTCTGGGTGGCATAGGATATAGTTCAGGATGTGGTTTGCTTTGATATTTTGTTATATAATACAAAGGCAATCATATATCTGTATGTGCTTAACAAAAAATACCTGCTAAAACAATATAAGAAAACTCGACCAGTAATGTCTAGATGGCAATAGTTCCATCACTCCATTTTCTTAATGCTCCAGTCCTGATTTTGTTTGAGGTATTCCACCTAAATTTAGCAAAAAAAAAAAAAAAAAAAAACCTATTGTACATGTATTTGTTTGTTTTGGTGGGGCTGTATCTTGACAGATTTTTGGGCTCCCCGCCCTTAACAAATTTAACCCCTAGTTAGAGAGAATCTTGAGACAGTGTCACAGCATGAGAGGTGCCATCCCTCTTGTAGCATATAGAACAATAATTGGCTGCCATGCTGTCAAAGCATGAAAAGAAGCACCAATTCCCTGTTGAGAATCAACCTATAGAAAGTTTCCAACCAGTCGTTTACTTCATGGTTAGCCTGAGCCAAGCAGAATTGTAATGTTTATTTGCAACCAATTACAGACTAATCAAAAACACATTTTCTTCAGTGAGTGGCAGTACAGTCTAAATTGGTCAGCTAAGCAAAAACAGAATTCTTTCTAACTGCCTTTTAAATGAAAGTTTTCTGTGTACATCTCACTCATCTCTGCAGGCAGTTATATAATATAATTGAGCTGAATAGAGCTGGAGGTCTCATTTAGAAAGTCTCAAAGTACCAACAAAGTTGTATTTCACCTTTCCCCCTCTTTTCTATACACTATTTTGACTAAATTTAAGCTAAAACGAAAAACTAAAATTAAATTTAGATATCAAAACATGCTTAAAAGAAAAAGTTTAATAAAATAAGTTTTTACTGTATTTTTGATTCAAAAAATAAATGCAGCCTATGAGCATTATTTCAAAAACATGGAAAATCTTAACAGCTCCAAACTTTTGAAAGGTAGTGTATAAACATAATAATATAAATCAAAATATATTATATGTATTATTCATTTGTTCTGTTAAAATAAAAAAACTGTAATGGTTCTTCTCAAGTAAATTAATCTTGTTTTAAGAGGTGTGGATTTTTAGAATGATTTTACCCAGAATCAAAACATCCCACTCTTAAATACGGAAAGATTTATGTGCTGAGGTCTCTATGTGCCAGTTATTCTAATATTTTTTAAACCAAATGAATGGAGGCAATAGATAAACATTGAGCTGGATCTGAATCCCAGACATCCCCGACTATGCTACTGCTCAATGAGCCTCTGTGTCTGTGTGTGTGTGTGTGTGCGCGTGCGCGTGCGCGTGCGTGCGTGTGTGTGAGCGTGTGTGTGTGAGCATGTGTGTGTGAGCATTTGTGTGTGAGCATTTGTGCTTGTATATTCTTGCCACTGCATGTGACGTGTCTGACGCGTCTCTGTGTGCACACTCTGGTGTGTGAATATGCACACGAGTATAGTTTGTGTGTTCTAGCGTTCAGACACCCGCTAAGCACTCCACTAGGACCTCCACACAGTGACTCTCCTTCACAAAAGCCATTTGACGTGGACCCAGCCCAGTTCAGGAAGCCCAACCTAACAGCCTCCAAAAAAAACCCCACCTGACCAAGCGCAAGCCTGCCGTTTGAACACTGAAACCTCTCATTCACCTCTCTCCGTATACATCCACTGATTCCTCACCAACCACAAATAACCTTTAATGATGTCATCATTTGCTACACATCACTGTCTTCTGCATATAATGAGTGGACGATTATTAGTCATTTTTTAATTTTAGCTGTTATAAACGTTAGCAAATACCGCATGCATCGCTGAGCTAACAACAGCTCTGTGTGTTTTCCAGAACAAACTAGTCTTTTCCTCCCATTAAAAGGAACCATAGAGTGGACTTGCACTGTTGGGCATCCACTGCAGTACTATTACAGTTTCCTGTAACAACCAGGCTAAAAAAAAACACTCATTTACAGCTTCCCCTGAACAGTTTTACTGAACCATATACTGTGGTCTTTTTCCTTAATATAAATATTGGAAAATCTATGTAATGTCCTTGCACTGTTGAATAACGGGTGGGTCTCCATCTAATCCAAACAACTGTGGCACTCCTCTGCTTTGTTAAACCCAAACAAGTGCTTCAAGCTCAGTCAATTACACTGGCTTTGGTGAGGAAGGAGGTGTTGCTGGACCACCGCATCCATAGTTTTTTTTTTTTTCTCCACTCCTTTGTTATCCCTGTCACTCCGGCTGCAAGGAGCTTAATGGATTTTAGTCTGCTCTTCCACCTCAGTGATATTTGTCAGTGAGTCTGCATGTTCACGCTGCATGATTGCAAAACCACTTAATTATGGGATTACGAGAGACTAACCTGTTTGCAACAAGCCTGCTCCGCTGTCACCAACATCGAAGTGTTTCTGTATGTCAAGAAGGACACCTAAAAAAACAGAGACAGGGAGAGATTAGAATTTGTGCACTGATGTAAATTTGAGTTGAGTAGAGCATTTGAGTCTCTTTTTGGAGAAATAATTACCGAATGAACTTTCGGGCATCTTTTGTGCTAAGCAATTTAAAGAATTAAAAATATTGACAGGTGTTTCTCAATACATTTTCATGTGATCCTCAAAAACAGAACAATCATAGGCTTATGGATGAACACACTCACTTCTACTCTGGGCTGTTTGAGGTGTAATATTTCATCAAAATTAGGGATGCTCTGATATTACAGGCCATAACGATAAGCTGATAATTCCTTTCAAGTTAATAGTGGCAATAAATAGCCAAAATGAAACTTCAATGCTATTTTACATAAATGAAAAATAAACCACTGAAAAAACCCCAGCTGAGGTGCATCTAAACATTAAAAATGTACAGTACGCAAAAATGGATATTAATTTTGACATTTGATAAAGATTATATTAAATATAAATATAAATCTAATAAAATATTAGAAAATAGAAATATATAAGAAAATAAAAACGAACATATATTCTAATATCGAATAAAAGATAAATAAAATATGCTCTAATATAAAATAAAAATGAAATGTCCTGTTGAAGCGTAACAAAGGCATGTCCTCAGAATAAAAAAAGACAAGAGAACGAAAGAGTGTGAATGAGTTGCAGACAGTAAAGAAAGAGACACTGGCTGCACTGGAATGCGAGCAGGTGCCGTGACTCGTGTGACAGGAATGTTACATATGTCACTATGTGAGGACAAGCCTGCACCTGCCAAAGTGCTCCTTCTCAGTACGTCTTTGCTACAACGTGCCAGTGACAAGTCAAAACGGGTGGCGACGGGAAACCGCGAAGTGATCGAGACGAAACTCGAAGATGACTAAAGCCACCACAGCAACAGAAACAAATAGCTATTTTTATTTCTCACAGCCACTCCTGTGTTATGTGTAGTGTTTGTAAGACCTCAAAAAGCATGACGTAATTATCCAGGCAGCGCTGAGAAGATAATTAAGAGACGCTTCTACAGCATTGGGTGTTTGATCTGGGTGCGTGTGAATCGCGGGAAGCCGGTGAAGCGGATGTCTTTCTCTTTGCCTCTGTTCGTACAAGACTGTTCAGTGACTTAGAAAGATGTAACTTCAGAGATAACGTCAAGGATGTTGGATCTCTATCGCTCTTGTCTAATTTCATTGGCTGTCAGTCACAGACCCTGTTTACAGCCTACCCTGCATTTAGAAGTGTCTGAATGCTGTGAGCTTTTCACAAATGGAAGATCAAAGCATATGTCTGAGTTAGACACTTAAAGAGCTCTTTTTTACTTTAAAGCGATCAGAAAGAAGGAATGTGGAGATGAGAGACTGATGATTTGAAGGCAGCAACACGAAAGCTGCAATTACACTAAAAAGGGAGTTATGCCCTGATCAAGAGCCCTTTAGATTCCTGGCCAACACACACATAACTACAGCAATAAACCATAGAGCAACATGATATTGTCAGATTAAACATTTTTACTATTGAATTGATTGAAATCATTAGTTGTTGAGATTTAGATAACCTTTGTCATCATGTAACGCTCACTCAAAAAACGAATAATTTAATAACAGGGGTTAGTGGGTTTATGGAAAGCTAATAATTAATTAAAGCATATAAAAATATAAAATTAAAATTAAGAAATCATTAAAAAAAACACTGAATTAAATGAATTGACATAAGATAACCACGAACATGCAAATGTGTTGTTAAATGATTGAGATTCCTAAATCTTTTTTTATATCTATTATGAACAATAAATTCCTGTCTTGCTTCTTTTCAGTTCCTAGCAAAACATCTTGATTTAGCAGATATGGGAAGCCCGGGCTCATTGGAAAAATGAAAAATGTCCCCTTTGGCAACATTTCTGCAAAAGTCTATTGCGTTGCTTCTTGCATATTTTGCGGCACTTTCCAGTGTCCAAAATCTCCAGTGACTGGCACTAAAAGTATGTTAGTTTTTTTTTTGTGGTCATATTAGGTCATTTTTATCATTTTATAAAGGGGGTTGACGTCATGATTGACAGCTGAGATTGACGACGTCTCTGAGCAAAGTAGTCACTGAATTAGCAACTTTTTCTGGATTTTCGTGAGGAAATTGGAGTTTTAACTTTAATTTCTACATTTCCATAGCTGTTTATTTCACACCGACATAATGAGTTGTTAAGCAGTAAACTGTACTAACCGATTCTGCGGGAGTGTGGGCGGGGCCTTGATACCGCGGCTCCACTTCAAGCTCACTACTGCGCAGGGTCCCGAATTGGCCCAATATGTCAGCGCCATATTGGGACATTGGCGGCTTCATTTTTCTATAATGGAAGAGAGTGAAGGTGCGTCGTCCATCTTTTTTACAGTCTATGGTTTGCTACGTCAGTTTGCTAAAGCCATAGATTTGGATCAGGTTATGTGATTCAAATGTATTAGTGTACAAATCATGCATATGGTAAAAGTGTTTTGAGTCCATAACATATTGTGCAAGGAACTGTGTGAAATTAAGTTTTATTAATGATAATTTGTGTGAAGAGTAATAAAAGTTGGTGTTCTAGTGTTAATCTCTAGTGGGAATTGTATGGATAGGCACGTTTTTGAAGTTTTGCAAAAAATATAGGAAGAGGCGCGCTTTTCCAGTGAGCCTAGTTTGGATACGGAGGCGTTGGCTTCCCCTGTCCTTCTCCATGCTCAGAAGCGGGTGGTCCCGCCCTCTTTCCATTAGTCTAATCTGAGGCGGTGTACTAATTACCTTGGTCACACTCCTCCGTTGCCCCCCCATCCCTCAATCCCTCCGTCTCTCCCTCTCCTCCCACTGGGACGGGGATCCCTGTGCCAGATGGTGCTGCGTTTCTCCTCTTTCAACCGAGACTGCACCTGCCCACCCTCACGCCTGCCAAAGACCTCAACCACCAAGCTCTTCCCACCAAAACTCCCACAGGCACAACTGATGCAAACTGATGACTTGTTTGAAAATATGATTGATTAAATTTGGGAAGTATGTCCTTATTTAACATTATAAAGGAAAGAATGGTAACTGGAAGAGACTGGTACTAGTAGGTCAGTGTGTGCACAACGTAACACTGAACTATTAGAGCAACTGTCATATTAGTGAATTATGTTCTGTGTTTGGCAGGCGAAACCGCCCGTGTGAGATTTGCCCTAAATTCTTCTCTCTCTATCTTCTCTTCTGGCTCTCGGATAAAGATACACGGCTCAGGGAAAACATGGCAACACCTTGAAACGTTTCAGAGAGAGCTGTCTTTAAGCATCTGAGGTGCAGCAGCTCTGACTTCATCTTGCATCATACTGTAAAACGGTAGGCAATGCCACACAAGGTGATGCAAATGCCCCAAATGGCACCAGTAGAATCATCAACCTTCTAGTGTCCGCCTTGATGCCGCCAGCCCTGAGGTGTTGCCATAGTAACACGGCAAGGGCGCACACACTGAGGAGGGAAAGGTCGGCTGGCAAGTGGTCAGATCAGACTGACTAAGATGGAAAAAGGAACACACATTTACGGTAATCTTGCTTAGCAAAACTTTATCTGAATCTTCTTACATGGAAAAGATCTGTCAGGTTTGGCTGATATAGGGTCACTTGCAATGCACTTTGATTTACTAAAATGTAGAAACTGCAACAGATACTAAGAGGCAAAAGAATGTTGTCCTGCCTGTTGATCTATTGCATGCAAAACACATCTCTGAAGAGCAACAGCCATTGAACAGAGTGTTACAGCATAACGCCACATAAGATTGGCTGATAATCATTTTTCAAAATAAAGAAATCTGATCATCTAAAATAAATAAACTTGTTTTACCTGATAACAGATAAATGTACTTATGGAGGCAGTTTTTTATTTGGGGACAAATTTGTCCTGACCAAACCTTCATTCGTGTGGGGACATCTGAGTGGAAAAAAAGGAAACGTTTTGAATTTATATAAGGCATGCCGCCATTTAAAGTATGTTTTACACTCCACCTATTCAAATGCACAAAGCATTAAATATTAGACAAGTTCCACAGAAGAATATTCTAACAGAATAACTAGTTCATTGTGCGTGCGTGCGTGCGTAATTAATAATTATATTCTACATTAATAATTTTGAAATATAATGTGTTGATGATAGAACGAATGATACTGCAGGGTAGATACTCTGTATGATGTAAGTTATTGTTATTTAACACTAGTTTAAAAGATAATTAATGCAAAAGCCCCTAATGCTCATTTTGCAAATTCCATTTAATATCAATGAAGTCATGGACTCATGGATTAGAAATTAAATAAATGAAACCCACTAATTCAAATTCAAATAAACAACTGCTCACAAATCACACAGTAAAACTGCAATGCAAACAGATTGTGGTGTGAGAAAGAGCGTCTTTTGTTTTCTAGCACACTAGTTTCATTATCCCAAATGCTAATTAAACATTGACCCGTTCATGTAGGTCTCCATCTTATCAGCTGATTGGTGCAGTGAAATGGCGATATGCTAATGTTGATGCTATTGCGTAAGATGCAGTGCATATGAATGCTCCTTTTTGGTATAATGCTTTCATAGTGATGTCCCCAGGAGACCCATTGGACATTGACCAGTGGACTGACCAATAGCATGTTTGAAGAAAGCTCGGTGGATGAGGATGAGCAAATCAGTTCTGTTAATGTGTCTAGTGCTATTTCAAATCTCAGGGGAGTTCATTCAAGTGAAGCTGTTTAATGGATCCTGGAAGCTGAAGCTCCTGCATTTGATTTACACAAACCGTGTGATGCTATCTTTGACATACATTGTTTGGACCCACTTTTATCTGATCTGATAAGAGGAAGCCAGCCTGTGAGTTTAAGTGCTTGTTTGGGTAGAGTGTGTTCTTAAAGAGTATGAGCTCATCTAAGCCAAGAAAGACCAAGAGGTCTGAGTTTTGATAACTAACCTTCTCTGAGATGAACTGGCGATATGCCAACACATT